TCATCCTCACGCTCACCCTCTGCCAGCAATCTCTTCGTGCACTATGAGTTGTGCAACGGATTTGTGGCAACATTCGGTTTTGGTCTGGCATTGGTCTGGGCTTCAGCTCCAGCTCCAGCTCCGGCTCCAGCTCTGGCGAGAGGCTGTCGATTTGTTGCACAGATTTGCGCACTCGTCGCGCGCGGTGACTGGCAAAAAAAAACCCCAAAGCAACAACAAACACAACAAATCCTTCGCGCCGCATTTGCCTTCTTTTCTATTTTAAGAATTTTCGAAAAAAAAAAAAAATAATAAAAATAGAAACAACAACTATTTGGCAACGGAACCGTCTCTTACCTTGGCACAATAACGTCGCAGCAGCAGCGGCGGCAGCGGCAGCACTGGCCGAGGCATCATCATCATTGTAATCTTCACTGTAAACATCATTGCAACCATGATCATCATGTTGTCATCTTCATCATTATGATATTTGCTAGTTGCAAGCAACATTCGACAGCTTCAAACTCTTTTCTACACTTTCAGCGGGTATTTCAATTTGTTCAACGCAGCCGACTTCAGAAATTATATATATTTTGAATGTATATCAAGTGTTGGGCCGAGATTTATCCATCTATCTAACTGACAGCTGTGAGCTGTTAGAGTTGCTGACGGCATAATATAAATTTTCGTATGATATTTTCACTAAGATCGGACTACAGACACCGAACAATTAATTTGGGGGGATGCGGAATGAAGAAGCTCTATAGCTGCATAAGGTGCACAGTTAAAGGGGCGGAAAGGGTGTGTTTTGCCTATGTGTATGCTCGCAATTGCACACAGAGCATCTCGCTGTCGTGCACTCCCAAACAGAGCACTCTGACTACTTTTTTTTTTGTTGTCTCTTTGCCTCATTTACATGCGGCGCGCTCTTGAATCTGCGGCGGCTCAAGACGCAGATCACTTGCAGCTAAAAACTTTGGCTACAACTTGGGCAGTCATGATTATATCGTAGTTGCTGTTGCTGCTGTTGTTGCTGCTGCTGTTGTTGTTGCTGTTGTTGTTGCTGTTGCTGTTGTTGTTGCTACAGCCGCCTAAAACACTCATCATCATGTCGGACAAACAACCTTGTTGCCGTTTGCCATTCGCCGTGGCCGGTGCCTGATGCCTGCTGCCTGGTTGTTGGTTGTTGCTGTTGTTGCTGTTGCTGTTGTTGTTGCTGTTGGTTGGTTGCCCGCTACCCGAGGCTGTCATTGCTTCCTCGTGGCGCTAATGTGGCCGCTGCGGCTGCTGTTGCCGCTGTTGCTGCTGCTGCGGCTGCGGCTGCGGCTGCTCCATTAAAGCCTGGCGCGGCTGCCGCTTATGACAGCCGATGCACGCTCACCCGACATGCAACCAGCGACAGCAACAACAATGCGTTGCGACGTTGCCACAAGCCGAAGCACATATACTCTTAACAGGCGTTTAACATGAGTTGCTTAATAGCAGCGCATCATGTTAAGCAGCTGTTACATGCCATGGGCTTAGGGTAAATGGCATGCTTTTACTTAAAAGTTTTTGTTATGTTAAGCAGCTGTTATTGGAAGACACACTGCTAATAACAGTACCATAATATGTAAAGGCTTGCCTAAGGTTATTGTGTGCTGTTATTTACATTTTGTTTCCTATGCAAATGGCGCACTGCCAACAGTTCCACATTATGCTTTACGGTCTTATAACAGCCTCTGTAAACTGTGCTCAAGAGTCGACTTTGAGCTAAGCAGCTGTATGTTTATGGCGCGCTGATACCAGCAGCGACAGCTATGTTAAGTTGTGTTATGTTAGAATTAAATCCATTGTCTTCTTCGAATTCCAAGCGTAATTCGTATTTAAAGGTTTTCTAAATTGATCGTTATGACTAAAAGAAAATTGGACTTGAACCACAATGCTTGTTTTAAGGATAAGCATACTTTAAATAAGCTCTAATGAAAGTACGATTTTTACCTGCATCTGAGTCTTGTATTTCTTCGAATAATTGAATTAATAATTTATTTAAAACAACTTTCAAGAATGTTAACTAGCTGTTATCTAATCTATATTTAAATAAAACTGTTTGTCCCTGTTTGTTCTAAGTTAAAATAATATCTTTTATTTCATATAATTTAAGTACCTAGTGCAAAGACTTTATATTGTCAACAGTTAGGCAAAGAGCAGGCTCTGTGGGTAGGGTATATATGGAAAATGTGTATACTTATATATATATATATATATAAATGTACAATCGTAGTATAGAAACGGCAACTGTAGTGCGCGAAATATCTCGACATGAATACAATCTTTTAATGATCGTGTGTAATTTTCAAACATGTGGGGACGGTGAAGTCTAGGCACGCCGCAGCCGCAGTCGCTGTTGCAGTCGCTGTTGCAGTTGCCGTCGCCAACGTCGTCCGTCACCTGACCCCAGCTCGACATGCTGGCAATCACTCATTGCGAGCCTGAGATGGACAGAGGGACACGGGGAGTGGCCAGGGCCGGGTGGCAGTTAAAGAAGGAGACAGAGGCGTAGCTGCTGGCTGGCTGGCTGCCTCGACTTTCGGTTGCAATGCACCTTGAATCTGGTTGCAGCGCCATCGCATCACTCACCCACTAACTGAGGACCAGTGCATCGTGGCCTGGTCGCATTTCGCAAGCCCAACAACAATAAGAACAACAACAGCAATGACAACAACTACAAACAATGTTGCTCGTTCACATGCCACTCAAGAAGTCGTGGCACTGAATTCCCCAGTAGTAACTCGCATGCCCCACGTACTTTGCATTGCTCTAGCCAGGCGACAATCTGTTGGTGCGGGGGAGTGCGGACGGGTGGCGGCGGGTACAGTGGGCCACTCAAGATGGATTTGAACGTTTTGGGCAATTACAATAGCTCAATTTGTTTGGCACTGTGCACTGGCAATCGTTTTGTCAATTGTATCTGTGTGTGTGTGTGGCAACTGGCAACTGGCAACAGGCAACAGGCAACTTGCAACAGGCAACTTGCAACTGGCAACATTTGCAGTTATGTTTCTGTCCAAAAATATTCTACTTTTAGTTTTCAATTAGCTGCCGCGTCATGCAGCATGCAAGAGAAAGGCAAAGAGAATGGAATTGGGTCTACAAGTGTTGGATAATCAGCTGCCGGCAATTGAGGAACTCTACTATGATATAAACTATTGCATATTATGATCAAGGCCACAAAACCAGCAAAAGAAATATCGCTGGTTCGGTTCACGTTTCCAAACAGTGTTTCGCCTTGTGATGCGCTTCGTGAAACCGATTTTAAATTGCAAAATCAGGTTTAGACTACAATAAAAGAATTAATTTTTTTTTTATTGACTAAATTTGTTAAATCTTTTAGTATATAATGTTCATACTAAGAGCTGGGAGTTGGGAATATCCAACTCGGGTGTAATATATAGTAGGCTATACTATATACTTATAATATCCAACTAGGATATACTCTATACATATAAGCACAAAAATACACATATATACATATATACACACAGCGGCTGAGCTTCTTCTTCCTTTTGCCCCACCCTATGTATGGAAAATGCATTTTTGAATAACTTCGGTGTTTATTGTCCGATCTTGCATATGATAAACAAAAGTGTGTACATACCAAAGCGCAAGTCTCTACTCTCCTCTCCTCTATCTCTTGTATTTTTTCTCTCTCTCCCTGGCTTTCTCCCCCTCTCTTTCTCTCTCTCTGTCTTTCCTTTTTATTTTTGTTTTCAATTTTGGGGGAGAATGTGGGCAATATTCTTAATCTGTATATACTATACACTATACACAGAATATTCCATAATCTTTATACACAGTTTAGCTCTTATAATTGTTTAATTGTGGTCTTAATAGTTCTTTGTCTCAATATACCCCCAAACCATCCACATATCTTATTCCGTTCTCCTTGGTCACTTTAATTAGTTCTTTGCCTATCAAGCTGCATGGCTGTATGCCATATAGTATGTGAGTTCGTGTGTATCCGAAAATCAGCTTATCATCTTTGTTGGTCATCTATCTTGGTCACTTTAATTTGTTTTAAGCACTTGACTCTGGTCATATTATGCCATTATGCAGTCTTAGCTAGTCTTCTCTTACCCCAAAGACGATCATAAAATCCTTTCTCCTTGCGCTGAATGGTGACTTATTTCAGATTTCCAGCTCTGGCTGTACAAAGTTTTCTTCCATGTTCACTTTGTTTCTCTGCCAAACTTCGTATTCTACTCCAATGCAATTTATTTTCAAAATTTAAATTTATATCGTCACTTAACCTCCATGTTTAGTTTAACTCTGCTCCTGACTGTGCCCGCTTGTCTTCATATAGTTCGAATGGGCAATTGATCACATTTCGAAGTTTCCTTAACTTCTGCCCTGTTCTCAAATTTGTCTGCCTATTCAAAGCGGCCTCTCCATGTACTAGATTTGTGTGTTATTGCAGCTCTGTAGCTCGTATCTGTATCTGTGGCTGTTATTGTTTGTGTATCTGTATCTGTATCTGTATCCGTATCTGTATCTGTATCTGCAACTGTTGCTGTATCTGTATCTGTATCTGTGTCTGTATCGTTTAATGTCTGGTGTTTAGCATTTTCAATTTACATATTACACGGCAGTCGAAACAAGATTTGTAGCCATTGGCCAACACGGCTCGCCGCCTGCTCCTGCTTCCTTTCCTCTATCGCAACCAGCCCGCCCCCCCATGCCCCAACGCCCTTCGCTTCTACTTGAGCGGCAAAAACAATTTATTGTGACACGAGGTAATTGCCTTGGGCTGCATTACGTCTACTTTGGCCAAAACGGACACGTTAAGGCCAACAACACAGCGGCCGAGAGTCAATGCCTTGGCCAGCAGAGAATTCTCATAATGCTTGGGATGTTGATGAGGCAGCGAAAGAGAGAGAGAGAGGGAGAGAGAGAGAGGGGGTGAGAGAGAGCAATCGAGCGACGGTCAGTCAAAGGCTAAGACTGCGACTTGGTCCATAGATCGATCAGCTAGCGGCACGAAGATGCCAACTAGCCCAAAGCAGCAGCAGCAGCGGCAGCGGCAGCGGCAGCAGCAGAAGAAGAAGATGATGATGAAGAAGAAGAACTTATTTGGTGTAACAATTATTTCGTGATTTAATTTCGACCTTTAGCGACCAATTTAATCGATCCAGCAAACCGCACCGCACAGCTCCATTGTTGTTTGGCTTGGACAACAGCCTCAGCCTCAGCCTCAGCCAGAGCTCTGGGAGTGGGCAGCCAGCAGCCAGCAGCCAGCAGCAGCAGCAGCAGCAGCAGCAGCAGCAGCAGCTACAACTGTACATTTACAGCGGGCAAGTGTGGGGGGAGGGGGATAGGTCGCTCAGCGTTTTGGCCGACTATTCGCTGCATTGTTTTGGACTGCCAGTGGCTCCTCAATCGTGCGCGATATTCCGCCAAGCCTACAGCCCCCAGGCACACAGCAGCACCAGGCGGCACCAGGCAGCAGGCGGCACCAGGCAGCAGGCAGCAGGCGGCAGCAGGCAGCACTCGACAATCGGCAGCGATTGCCCAGCGTTTGCCAAGGGGCAGCTGCCTAGACACAAAGTTCCCACGTCCACGTCCATGTCCGTCGTCGCCGTCGCACAGTGGGCCCAAAAGCGTGGCGAAAATTTAAAATCCTGTTCAGCCAGGATTTGGTTTAAGTTTAAGAATTGGTAAAACTTTCTGACAAATTCCATACGAATGAGTATGTTAGTTGAATATATTTGCAGTCTGCAAAAGAGAGCGCAAATTCGTTGCCTTTTTCCGCATTTTCCAATAGAACTTTGAAAAAAACATTAAAAAAAAATTCTTAACTATTTCGTGTAAATGTCCAATTAAACAAATAAAGTAGGCGTGTTCTAGTCAAGAGTGTCCGATTAGAAGATGCCCACTAAGAGACGGAAATACTGTTCTGGAATAACTTCGGTATTTATAGTCCGATTTTAATGAAATTTTTTATGCCATAAGAACGTCTGTAAGTTCCTTTTTTTTTCAATTTTCGAGAGAACGTGTGGAGGTATGTAATATCTGAAATATTTTATACTGACATCCTTAGCTGTGGTCAACTATCTTTTTTCTTTCTGAAAATCGATACTTATCGATATCGTAATAAAGTGGTGAGCTATCGATGACTTCAAATATACTTCATGTATGAGGGTTGATTTCAAGTGTGCAGCTCTTAGAGGTTCTGTGAATCGACTGGGCAATTGATGCTGATTAAGAAAATTGGGTCGTAGATGCCTCCATTGCACATAAGCATCGTAGCTTTTTTGTACCCATTTTCAAATGGGAGATAGAACGTTTGGAAACGACACAACAACACAAATTATGTCGTCTTAAGGCCGAGTTAAAAACGACATATCTCCGCAGCTTGGGAAGGGTTCTTTTAAAATGCTTTTCCACAAGTCTGATGCCCTTTAGAATTAATGGTGTTTGGCTCCACGGTGCGTCGCCGGGCAAGTGCCAGTCGAGAGTTGCTCTAGAGTTGTTGCTGCAACAGCAACAGCAGCAACAACAGCAGCAACAGCAGCAATGTCCCCAGAAGCGTTTCGAGCGAAAATTTAAATTTCGCACCGCTGCAACAGCAGCATCATCATCATCATCGTCATCATCATCAGCAGCAGCAGCAGCAGCAGCAGCAACATGATTATCATCATCTACTTCATCATGCTGATGATGAAGATCGTCGTGCTGCGAGTTCAGCGTCTTCGTTTCTTTGTTTTGTGGCTGCTGCTGCTCAGTTTGCTGCCAGCAACAGTTGCTGCTGCTGCCTGTTGGGCTGCTGCTGCTGCTCTCTCTCTTTGTTTCTCTGGGCTTGGGCCAGGTCAGGTTCGCTGTGGCTTGGTCAGCCCAACACGATTACTGGCCGCTAATAATTGCCATTGATTTGGATCATGAGGCGGCTCGACACAAAAATAAAATAAAATGAAATAAAAACAAAACCAAAACCAAAACCAAGACGAGTCGCTTGGCAAAAGTGCTCGCAATTTGTGAAATTACATAAATCAGCTTTTATTTATTTATACATTTGCTGAGTTGCGAGCGAGAGCTCAGGAGCTGGCTCCCTGGCTGCCTGGCTGCCTGGCTGCCCGTTTGCCTGGGAGTTTTGGTCGCTGGGCGCCGTCGTCTCGGCTTTGGCTTTCAGCTTCCTGTGCCAATTCGGTTGCTCTTTCCCATACCAATTGGCTCTTTTCCCGCTCCCGATTTCCCATCCCCGATCTTCATTGATTACCCATTTTCCCAAAATAAATATGCATTGTGAATTGCGCTGCAAAACTCATTTGAGAGGTGCTGCCAACTGACTTCGCTGGGCTGCCTCTGGGCTGCCTTTGGGCTGGCTTGCGGTTATCGAGCGGCCATCGCGGAGACAACCAACTGCGGTGGCAATGGCCGTGGTAGCTGGCGCTGGCGCTGCCGATGTCGATGGTTGTGTTATCGTTAATCGATCGAACGGCCTACACAAGGCAATAAACGATGCATTGATAGAAATGCACGTAATTGAATGAATCAACTCTCATTACACACACGCACACACACACACACACACACAATGGTAGCAAATGTGCAAATTATCCACAGCAAGAGGAGGGCATCAAATGCAAAGTTATCGAACATCGATATTATTTTTGGCAGTCAACGCAGTTGAATTGTGTAATTTGTCTATATGTATAAACAATACTTATCGATAAAATATTTGACATCTTTCTAACGTTATCGTGTTAATAAAATGTATTCGATAATTATCGTTGAATAATTATGTTTTAAATTGATTCATAGAAAGTTTTGTATACTGACAAATTCCAAACGTTGTACGATATTTGTTATCGAATTTATCCATATGCCATTCCTAACACATCATATGGTTATCAATTGCATATTCCTAGTACAACTTATTGTCATCGATAGCCCATTTTAACGCCTCCTGTGATATTTTTTATAGATAGCCCATTCTTAATACACAGTAGTTTTATCGAAACATCTTTTTCAAAACATCGTACGGCATTTGTCAGAGGTAGCCCATTCTTAGCCGATTGTTATACACAATTCGGTGTCATCATATTATCGATGGTCCATTCTTTATACATCATATAATTAGCGATAATCCATTAGTATACATCATTTGATTTGCCCATTCTTAATTCATCATATAGTTATCGATAGCCCATTGCTATATCGTATGATATTTATCAATAACAATTACTTTACTTCACCAATTAAATACTCTAAGCAATTATTAATTCATTCAATATACAGCTTATCATCGATAGCCCCACCGACATATTTTATCGATAACTCTATCGACGGATGCTATCGATAACTGTATCGTTTGCATTTAAAAAAGGCAAGAAAAGAAATGTAACACTTATATTTTCCACACTCAAGTCAACGGATCGATTAACAAGCCCAATGGACTATCGATTGAATTTATCGATATATACTTACATCGATACATGCCAGCAAACTGGGCTGACATCGCAACCACTTGTGCCTGGGAAAATGCGTTAACACAATTTTGCTTGGCGCCCAAAATGAGCTGGGGAGGTGGAAGAGAGCTGGAAAGGAATGGAATGGGCCGATTTATGAACTTGTAGTCGGAAGTGATTAGAGTCCGTGTGCGTCCACCTTCACGTCTGCGTAGTCTGCCAGCTTGCTGGTATGTATGTGTGTGTGTATGTGTGTGTACGATTGACACGTTCCATGTGCCCGATCCGAACTGAAAGTTCAGTTGATTGCAACTTGGGACTGCGAATGCGAATGCGAATGCTGGCAATGCACAAACGCGAAATTCATTCATTCATCGACTTGTGGAGGAGCACAAATGGACCCAGTGCCTGGTCTGGCTGGCCAGGCCAGGCCAGGCTGGGCTGCCTGGTGGTTTGGTGGTTTGCTCGAATCGTGTCTGCCATGGAAATTGAATGAGTTGTGCGCGTGAGCCACGATCACTGACTGCGTAGAGGCAGCAGGTGGAGGCGGTGCTGCCACAGGGGGCACGGCGGGGCTGAGCAGAGGCACGGCCAGCGGTCGCCTCGGGGCTAGCCAGAGTTGTAGGTGCTCGCTAGCTTACTGGCTGGCTGCTGCTGCTGGTGCTGCTGGTGCTGCTGATTTGGCTGGCTCGCTGAGTCGGTGGTGCAACAGCTTGCAGCGTGTGGCAAGTCTTGTGGCAACGAAACGCTCTGCTTTTCGGGGTAATGAAGAATTATTGTGGCTCATTGTAAATGTCTCTAATTATGGTTCATTAATCAATAAAATTGTTTAACCTAAACGTACCACCACCACCACCCGCTTCCGCCATCTCCTCCCCACTCGTTTGCTCCAGCCCCCACGGAGGCCGTTGTGCAAAATTATGTTTAAAGTTGTGCACGCCGTCGCGATCTATCGACATGTGTTTATGGCGTGTATTGCCAGATCGTGATATTTGTAGTGGACACACGTTTGTCTCACAGCACACACACACACACACACAGAGAGAGAGACAGACAGTGCAACCGCCCCGCCCCGCCCCCCTCCTGCCCGCTCAATATACAACACCCGCCCACCCCACTAACAACTAAAACTAAACTAAGCCTGAAATTGCGCGCTTCAGTTCCGCTGAACTTTCTTATCGCTCTTTTAATGGCCTAATATGAGTTCTCGTTGCTGTCTCGCGCGAGTATGTGTGTGTGTTTGCGTGTGTGCGTGTGTGTGTGTGTGTGTGTGTCGTTCAAGCATTGACAATAGCTGCGACCAGTCGACGCTTTTGATAATGTGGCCAAGTCAAGACTAGCTCGTCCAGGGCCTCAGTTGGCTACGTTTGCGCTCCACTGACTGAATGAAAGTGGCGCGACTTATGTTGTTGTTGTTGTTGTTGTTGTTTCGGTGGTTCCAGTGGTTTCAGACGCCCAAAGATCACAGCGCGACATACGTACTTAGCCGTGTCGCGCGCGCCCGTGTGTGTGTGCGTGTGTGTGTGTCCAAAAGTGTACGTCATGCACATTTAGCTCTCGTAGTAACCACACAACTGCACCACACTGCACCATTCCGCACCACCCCGCACCACACATGCGCTGCTCATGGCCAAGGTAGATGACACGAGAACCTTCTCAATGCTGTTGCCTGGGGTTGCAACGCTCTTGGCGCTTTACCGGCGTGAAATTGGTTTAACCCACTGGTCACAATTGCACGCACACACACACAACCACACACACACACTTGCCCGTGTGGTGGCGGGGGCGGGTGCTGCAGAGGCGTACAAATAGTTTTGGAGCGCATTAACATTAACATTAACTGAGCCGCAATACCGACAAGGGCAGCCGACCAGCGCCTTCAGAGACAACCCGCTCTCCCTGCCCCTGCCCCTGCCTATGCCCCTGCTCCAACAGCAGCAGAACCCAGAGCTCTGGCCAGACCAGAGCTAGCACCAAGTACTGTCCTCCACAGTTTGTTATCTTTGTCTCCATATCTACACATCTGTTTGTTTTGCCTAGGTGCATGTGTGCCTGTGTGCGTGTGCGTGTGTGTGTGTGTAGGCAATGTCCAAGCTCAGCGTATGACATACAAGTTAATTTAGGTGAAGTCAAAAAGTCGTTGCACTTGGCTCGACAATCATTTTAGATACCACTCATAACTACTTTAGTTGCAGTCGGTCGGGAACATTCGCAGAAAAAAAAAAAAAAAACCTCGGAGACCCGCATAGCCCCTTGCGGTTATCAGTTAATTGAGCGCCATTCTGAGAGCGGAGAGCAGTGTTGGAAAATATCATGACCGTTGAGCTCCATTTATGAGCAACAAGCAAAGCGGCAACTCCGACCCTTTGGATCATATATGCATATATGTTCTTGAGTTTGACTGTTCGATCGCGTCGATCTTGTGAGTTTAGCTTAACTATAATTTGTATGAAAGAAGTATCGATTTAGCCATGTCTCTCCGTCAGTATGTTTGGCCATACGCACATGGAGTTCATTATTTTGTTTTCAATAGCTTCCCCCTTTTGATAATCTCTATAAATATCGATTTTGAGATATAATTTTCTAAACATAACGCGAAGATTACTGAAGCTACTTACACCAAACTTAGTATGTAGCTTCTCGTAAGGTATATACAGATTAAGAATATTTCTCTTTTTGGATATCCCCTATAAATTGGTCAAATTTAATGGTAAAGCTGTGTGCTTTGATACATATATATTTTTGGATGCCATAATAATGCCTTTAAAGTTTCTTAAGGATCGGACCATAAATACCGAAGTTAATCAAGCATGCATCTTCCCATGGTGTGGGCCTAAATGAAAAAGAAGCAACGCTTGAATGTTTACCAAGGTATAGTTCAGGGTATCTACCAGTCGGGCACTTTCGCCTGAAGTGCTCTTACTTGTTATTTAATCAGACTATAATCTTGAATACTTTTAGCTATAGCTTTACTAAATACTTAATACCAAACTATTGGGTACTGGTTATATTTGAAAGTCTCTTCAATGGGTCTTAAAGTGTTTCCATAAAGTTGCTGCTAAAAGTGACGCTTAACTCTCATCTAATGCTCGTAATCCTCGATGCTACACTTGGCTTTTGGGGGAATGGCTTATCGGCCCGTGGGCATCTGAGCGGGCAGTCGTTTGGTGGGTTTGGTGGCTTGGTGGGTTTGCTGGATTGGTGGTTGCGGTCTGTAGCGGTT